AAAAAAAAAAAAAAAAAAAAAAAAAAAAACTTATGCAAGGAAAGAAAGAAAAAAAAAGGGCCCAAGAACATGAATCAGTGGGTAAAATAATTCTGAACTTTGAAGCACTGAATGTGAGTAACCATGCCAACAAACTTAGGTTTAGTCCATCTCTCCAAGTAGAAAACACAGTCATTTTGCACAAGAAAGTCATATTTTTTTCTGAAATCGTTTATATCTGGTATTCATGCTGCTAAGGTATACCACCATTTTGGTTTATCCAAAGTGATATAAGTGATTATGGAACTAAGATACTAAGTTAACATATAAAATAGGAATCTGCTGGGCGCGGTGGCACGAGCCTGTAATCCCAGCACTTTGGGAGGCTGAGGTAAGAGGATTGCCTGAGCCCGCGGGTTCGAGACCAGCCTGGGCAACATGGTGAGACACCCCCTGCTCCTGCCACAATACAACAACAACAAAAAATTAGCTGGGCTTGGAAGGCTGAGGCAGAAGGATCACTGGAACCTAGCAGGTGGACAGAGGTGGCCATGAGTGTGCCACTACCTTCCAGCCTGGGTGGCGGAGTGAGACTCCAACTCAAAAAATAACAAAATAAAAATAGATAAAATAAAAGAGGAATCCCACAAGATACAAATTTTCAAGTTATATTCACCCTCTGCTGATGCTACCTGAAAAAGTGTTTCAGAGTTAAACGGTAATATTCTTGTTATAGAAGTGCACATATAGTAAAAAATAAACATTTGACTTATAGTCCCAGATACTTGGGAGGCTGAGGCAGATCTGAGAATCGTCTGAGCACAGGAGTTCAAGGCTGCAGTTCCATATGATGGTACCTATTTTGCACTCCAGCCTGAGTAACATAGCAAGGCCCAATCTCTGGGAAAAAATTCTGGTTTTTGTCTGCATTCCTAGCAGAGATCCCGAAACCCTTGGAATTTCCTGAGTAATAAGAGTGTCTTTTGGGCCGTGCATGATGGCTCAAGCCTGTAATTCCAGCACTTTGGAGGCCAAGGCGAGAGGACTAATTGAGTCCAAGGGTTCGAGACCAGCCTGGGCAACTTGGTGAGACCTCGTCTCTACAATAAATAAAAAAATTAGCCGGGCGTGGTGGCGTGTCCTGTAGTTCCAGTTACTTGGAAGGCTGAGGCGGAAGGATCGCTTGAGCCCAGCAGGTCAAGGCTGTGGTGGCCGTGAGCATGCCACTGCTCTCCAGCCTGGGCAACAGAGTAAGATTCTGACTCAAAAAAAAAAAAGTGTCTTTTGTATGCTAATTAATAACTCCAGAGGGTGAGAGGAAGAGCCCTAGACAGCAGTTTCAGGATGGGGGCTGGCCACTAGTGATTAGAAGATTAGAACTCAGTGGGGGCTCCGTGGCTCAGCCTGTAATCCCAGCACTTTGGGAGCCTGAGGTGAGTGGATTGCCTGAGCCCGCGGGTTCGAGACCTGCCTGGGCAACTTGGTGAGACCTCATCTCTACAATAAATCAAAAAATTAGCCGGGTGTGATAATGCGCGCCTGTAGTTCCAGCTACTTGGAAGGCTGAGGTGGAAGGATCACCGGAACCCAGCAGGTCGAGGCTGCGGTGGCCGGGAGCGGCCACTGCACTTCAGTCTGGGTGACAGAGTGAGACTCCAACTCAAAAAAAAAAAAAAAAAAAAGATAAGAACTTTCAGCCCCAATCCTGCCCTCTCTGACATCTGCAGGAGAGAGGGACTGGAGATTAAGTTCAATCACAATGGCTGATTATTTAGTCATTCATGCCTATATAACCATACCTTTATAAAACCCTCTAAACAGCAAGGTTTGGAGAGCTTCTGAGTTGGTAAACACACCCACACGTCAAGAGGATGACACACCCTAACACCTGTGCTCAGGAACATTCTGGATTTTGCCCTATGTACGTTTTCATCTGGCTGCTCATTTGTGTCCTTTATAATGAACTCTATTAGTAAGTACAGTGTTTTCCTGAGTTCTATGAGTTGTTCTAGCAAATTATCAAGCCTGAAGGTGGGGGGAATGGGAACCCTGAATTTGTAGCCAAGTCAGACAGAAATGTCTGTATTCTGGGGCACAGGGACTTGGGATTGGCATCGGAAGTGAAGGCAGTCTGTAACAGTACTGAACCTACAAAAAGGTGAGTAGGCTTATGTTATCTGGAAAATTAGTTTTAGAACCACGTACTGCTTGGGAAATACTGGATAAACAAAAGCAGCTACTGGCGACTGAGTGCTCCCAGCCCAAAGTGTCACACCCTTCTTCTAGAGTCTTCACTGAGGTCCTGGACAGAGGCATCAGCTCCCTTCTACACGTGAGGACACAAAGTGAAGCATCTTGCCCAAGCTGTGGGTAGAGCTGGGATTTAAGCCCAAGTCTGCCTGACAAACAGTATATTTTTTCTTCTATGCTTTCTTTTAAAAGAGATGTAACTATCATCAACCAGACAAAATACTAAGAGTTTTAAAAATTACCTTCCATATAAAATATACAACAAGCCGGGCATGGTGGCTCACGCCTATAATCACAACTCTGGAAGGCAGAGGTGAGAGGATTATCTGAGCACAGGGGTTTGAAAACAGCCTGAACAACATGGCGAGACCTTACCTCTACAATAAAAATCAAAAAATTAGTCGGGCATGGTGGCGCATGCCTGTGATTCCAGCCACTTGCAAGGCTGAAGTGGAAGGATCATCTGAGCCCAGCAGATGGAGGCTGCGGTGGCCGTGCGCGTGCCATGGCAGTCCAGCCTGAGTGACAGAGTGAGACTCCAACTCAAAAACAAACAAACAAAATATACAACAAATCCGCTGAAGATTTTAATTGGCTCTAACCACACATTTTGGAAACAACCAGATGTTTTACATTACAAAATTTACAGTATCACAAAAAAAATCTGTGATATTGTTGGCCATAGCTGTCAAAGTGTATAATGGTATTTAAGATGCCATTATAGAGCCACTTTTTTTTTCTTGCAATGTAACCCACTGGCACTCTCAAATGCATTAAGATCAATCACCTAAAAACAATACTATTTTTTTTAATAAGCATATCCATTCATTTATTCTACCCTCCATCTTGAGTGTCCACGATGTGGCAAGTGTGTGTGCAATGAACTGCAGACTTAATCAACACTAATAGATATTTGCAGCAAAATCCAGGATTAACACATGGCAGAGGGAGCCATACATAGAAAGTGCTCTCTTCTTTTTGGATAGAGGTAGGACAGCTGGGTTGGCAGCCAGGAGGTTTTCAAGGAAGTCCTCGTAGAAATTCTTTTTTTTTTTTTTTTAATTAATCAATATTTTTTATTATGGTAACAATACTATTAATAGAGACAGCAAACTAGTTAGGATGGTGGCAGCGGCTAAAAGAGATAAGATGTCAGGAAAACAAAGGTGAGGCCAGGGCCCAAATCTTGGGCTTAGCCTGAATGCTGCATGTGTGAGGGGCTGCAGATAAGTTAAAGGAGATAATGTGTTTGGAAATCCACACCCAGCCAACTTCATCTTAGAGCCATGTGCAATAAAAAGAGGTTAGCTTTTTGAACAACATTAAACTTACTTTTCAGAGTTTAACTAAATGAAAAGAACAGACGGGAAGATCAATTAACATCAAAAAGGTCTTGACATTCCTAGAACAAAAAAGCTTCCAACAGGGTATGAATCTACCAGCCTTTAGAATCCAGAGGCCTAATTAACTTAATTGCTGTAATCAAATAGAAATCTTATAATGCTCTCTAGGAATTGACTAATGCAAAGAAGGAAGAATGTTCAGGTACCATGATTTGAGTTGTTTCTTTCTTTTTTATTTTTTTGGAAATTTTTATTATTTATTTATTTTATTTATTTTTTCTTGAGTAGGAGTCTCACTCTGTTGCTCAGACTGGAGTGCAGTGGCACGCTCCCGACCACCGCGGCCTCAACCTGCTGGGCTCCAGCGATCCTTCCGCCTCAGTCTTCCAAGTAGCTGTAACTATAGGTGCACAATACCACGCCCAGCTAATTTTTTGATTTATTGTAGAGATGAGGCCTTACCAAGTTGCCCAGGTGAGTCTCGAACTCGCGGTCTCAGGCAATCCACTCACCTCAGCCTCCCAAAGTGTGGGATTATAGGCTGAGCCACCGAGCCCGGTCTGAATTGTTTCAAATTACACAATTCATGGTACCATCAAAATTTCTACTAAGCTATCAAATTTTTTTTAGAACACAGAAAACTGAGGATAAGGCTAAAGTCCCAAAATGTCTAAGCTATTAACTATCAACAATAGTGCAAGATTCCATGTAAATATAAGATGGCAAAGAGACTGGTGACACTAGATCACATTTCAAATGATAATCTGTAAACCAACTGCAAATTCATTTTTGAACATCAGCTGTTGGTCAGATGGAGGAAAACTAAAGGAATAAGCGTTTCTTTCCAACGTTAAAAACTGCTGAAGATACAGTGGATAAGACAGTTCATTTTTTATCATCGGTATCAGTTATCTATCAAGAAAATTTTGATATATGAGTTCTAACAGAAAGAACAAGATATCACGTTTACTTTTTTTTTTTTGAGTTGGAGTCTCACTCTGTCGCCCAGACTGGAGTGCAATGGCCGCTCCTGGCCATCGCAGCCTCAACCTGCTGGGCTCCGGCAATCCTTCCGCCTCAGCCTTCCAAGTAGCTGGAACTACAGGCGCGTGCTACCACACCCGGCTCATTTTGATTTATTGTAGAGATGAGGTCTCACCAAGTTGCCCAGGCGGGTCTCGAACCTGCGGGCTCAGGCAATCCACTCACCTCAGCCTCCCAAAGGCGCGGGATTACAGGTGGAGCCACTGAGCCCGGCTTACTTTTTTTTTTTTGAGTCAAGAGTCTCTGTTGCCCAGGCTGGAGTACAGCAGCACAATCATGGTCACTGCAGCCTTGACCTGCTGGGCTCAGATGATCCTTCCCACTCAGTCTTCCAAGTAGCTGGAACCACAGGCATGTGCAACCATACCTGGCCAGGCTGATTTTTTGATTTATTGTAGAGACAAGGTCTCTCCGTGTTGCCCAGGCTGATCTTGAACCTGTGGGCTCAGGCAAACCTCTTGCCTCTTCTAAAAAGAAACTTAATGCCTTCTTCTTCTTCTTCTTCTTTTTTTTTTTTTGAGTTGGAGCCTCACTCAGTCGCCCAGATTGGAGTGCAGTGGCCGCTCCCAGCCACCGCAGCCTCGCCTGCTGGGCTCCGGCGATCCTTCTACCTCAGCCTTCTGAGTAGCCGGAATTACAGGCATGCGCTACCACGCCCAGCTAATTTTTTGATTTATTATAGAGATGAGGTCTCACCAAGTTGCCCAGGCGGATCTCGAACTGCCTTCTTCTTAAGGGCAGGAAAAGTCTATGCTACAACAGATTATACTTACAGAAAGCATCTACACCAGTATCGGATGGGGCAACAGGCAATTATGCTACAAGACAGGTAGTTACAGTGGAGCGCAACTCTACCCTGTTACTCCAGCACTGTAGTTATGCTTTCTATTTTTTTTTGAGTTGGAGTCTCACTCTGTCGTCCAGACTGGAGTGCAGTGGCTGCTCCTGGCCACCGCAGCCTCGACCTGCTGGGCTCCGGCGATCCTTCCGCCTCAGCCTTCCACGTAGCTGGAACTACAGGCGCACGCTACCACGCCCGGCTAATTTTTTGATTTATTGTAGAGATGAGGTCTCGCCAAGTTGCCCAGGCGGGTCTCGAACCTGCGGGCTCAGGCATTCCACTCACCTCAGCCTCCCAAAGTGCGGGATTACAGGCTGAGCCACTGTGCCCGGCCTTGTAGTTATACTTTCTTAAAATGGCACCTAAACACATGAACAAGAGGATCTGTTTTTCTGGATAAACTTGAAGCTTCTTGAGGGCAAAGATCTTCTATTACTCACGGAATCCCAACAGAAGTTACTATGGGCATTTGAACACATGCTGATGAAATATGACGTCAGCTAGGTAAGTCCCAGTATCTTTCCTTCCTTCAAACTAGGTGGCAAACTGCCTCATTTGTGTTACTATATCTGAGTTCATATAAAAATCGACACATCATGATAAAGAGAAGCTTGATGCTACATTCTCAGAAGCATGATTCACAAGCAGCCTCTAAAGCCCACTTGCAGGAACTAGATGTGACGCGCGCACATGCTCAAGGCTCCCCTTAACAAAGAGTGGCCGACAGGTGGAAGCAAGACCTTGCTTGGTCTTTACATGTCAGAGGAACCGGCTTTGGGCCTCACGTGCCCTGGGCTCCTTCCACTGCCACATGATGAGCAACAAGCTCCTTCTTCTGCAGGGCCACGGAGCTGTTCTGTCGCTCTTGTCTCATTCTGAGCCATTCTGGCTGAGCATGTACCCTCTCGGCCCCACAGACAGATATTGTTCTACACAGGCCTCCAGCTCTAAGGGGACACACAGACAGAGACAGCCGTTTGAGATATCTCCCTCTTAAAAATTCCAAACACATCACCTGTGAAGTTCTGTTCTCATTGTCCCGTATCCTTTCCTTAACCAGCCGCACAAGAGATGCAATGTTGTAAAATTCTGCTTCTTCCAGCACGCCTAGAACAAGGACCAGATTTTAGTCAGAGACGTGTGTGAGTTCACCAGAAAACCCCAAGAAGAGGCTGGAGGCTACATGCTTGCTAAAAACTGTATTTTTCAAATGCAAATCTAGCCCCTCTTCTGCCTAGCAAATCTCTCTTTGCTGTTCAGAGCATACCCACGATCTTTTCTCCAACATAAGTGAGTGTCAAATCCCAGGGTCTGCCCTGCTCACTCCATTTCATCCCTCCTGTTCCCGACCTAGCATCTGCCCATTAGCCGCAGGACACTTTTCCCATATGTCGCTTAGTTCCTGGAACTGGTCATGTTGGACACTTCCTGAGCTTGCAATTTTTACCCAATGTGCCCTAAAAAAGGAGTGTGTGTATAAATTTATGTGGCCAAATTTAACAGGATGTGAATTATCTGAACAATAGAAAAGGCAATCATTGAAAGACTCCTATGCTGAACAAAATCAAAGGCCTCAGATAGGACAACTATGAGATGCGTGATCCTATACCAGGACAAACTTTGCTATGAAGGTCATTATTAGGACAACTGACAAAACTGGAATATAAGCTGGAGATAAAAGTATCAATAACAGGCCGGGCTCGGTGGCTCAGCCTGTAATCCTGCGCCTTTGGGAGGCTGAGGTGAGTGGATTGCCTGAGCCCGCGGGTTCGTGACTCGCCTGGGCAACTTGGCGAGACCTCATCTCTACAATAAAATAAAAAATTAGCCAGGCGTGGTAGCGCGCGCCTGTACTTCCAGCTACTTGGAAGGCTGAGGCGGAAGGATCGCCGGAGCCCAGCAGGTAGAGGCTGTGGTGGCCGTCTGGGCAACAGAGTGAGACTCTAACTCAAAAAAAAAAAGTATCAATAACAAATTTTCTGCATTTGATAACTGTACTGTCTGTGGCTATGTAAGAGAATATCTTTGTTCTTGGAAAATACAAATTGAAACAATTTGAGGGTGGTGGCTCACACCTATTATCCCAGCACTTTGGGAGGCCGAGGTGAGAGGACTGAATGAGCCCATGGGTTTGAGACCAGTCAAGGCAACTTGGCGAGACCTCGTCTCTACAATAAATCAAAAAATTAGCCAAGTGTGGTGGTGCATGCCTGTGGTTCCAGCTACTTGGAAAGCTGGGGTATAAGGATTGCCTGAACCCATCAGGTTGAGTCTGCAGTGGCTGTGAGTGTGCTACTGCCCTACAGCCTGGGTGACAGTGAGACTCTGACTCAAAAAAAAAAACCAAACCTTAAATTAAGGGGTGAAATCTGCAAACTATTCTCAAATAGTTCAGAAATAAAAACTGTGGTGGTAGGGAGTTGGGAGAAAGAATGGATAAAGAGGGAGACAGGGACAGAAAGAGAATGATTGACAGTGCAAATGTGACATTAAAAACTGGTGAATATAAATAAAGGAAGTTCTTTGTACTATTCATCTCCCCCCCAGAGACAGGATCTCACTCTGTGGTGCAGGCTGGAGAGCAATGGTGCTATTATAGCTCACCACAGCCTCCACCTCCTGGGTTCAAGCAATCTTCTTGCATCAGCCTCTCAAATAACTGGGACTACAGGTACATACCACCATACCCGGCTAATTAAAAAAAAATTTTTTTTGTAGAGACAGAGTCTCACTATGTTGCCTAGGCTGGTCTTGAACCTGGCTAAAAGCCATCCTCCCTCCTTGATCTCCCAATGCACTAGGACTAAGGTGTGAGCCAGTGCCCAGCCTCTTTGCACTGTTCTTGCTCTTTTCTCTAAGTTTGAAATTGTTTCAAAATAAAAAGGCTTTATTAGTCAGATGTAGTCTCAGTTACTTGGGTGACTGAGCCCAGAGGATAGCTTGAGCCCAGGAATTCAAGGCTACAGTGAGCTATGGTCATGCCACTGCACTCCAGCCTGAGTGACAGGGTAAGACACTGTCTCTTTAAAAAAAAAATAAATAAAGTTTTTAATTAGAAAATATACTTAAGATTTCTCTTTTCAAGAAACAAGATTACCCACGAGTTGGTAATGGTTGAAGTTGGATGATGGGTACATGGATTCATTGTACTATTCCCATTACTTTTATTATTATTGTTTTTTTGTTTTTGCTTTTGTTTTTTTAGTTGGAGTCTCACTCTGTCGCCCAGACTGGAGTGCAGTGGCTGCTACCGGCCATCGCAGCCTCGACCTGCTGGGCTCCCGGCGATCCTTCCGCCTCAGCCTTCCAAGTAGCCGGAATTACAGGCACGCGCTACCACGCCCGGCTGATTTTTTGTAGAGATGAGGTCTCGCTTGCCCAGGTGGGTCTTGAACCCGCGGGCTCAGGCAATCCACTCAACTCGGCCTCCCAAAGGCGTGGGATTACAGGCTGAGCCACGGAGCCCGGCTCCATTATTGTTTTTTTGTAGAGATGAGGTCTCACTATGTTGCCCATGCTGGACTTGAACTCCTGGGCTCAAGCAAAACACCTGCCTCGGCCTCCCAAAGTGCTGGGATTATCGGTGTGAGCCACCATGCCCAGCTTTATTCCCATTACTTTTGTATGTGTTTGAAATGTGAAGAAAAAAAAAAAGAGAGGGCAATTTCTTCTTTATTGGCTGAAACAGAGTTATTCTGTAGTCACTTCATTAACTAGAACAACCATTCTCTCTTACTCAGAGCCAAAGCTCCCAGATCAGGGTGCCCTGGATTTAGGGACAGCCCCCAATCTTAAACTGAATGCCTTTGGTGAGACCAAGCCAAGCTGTGCAGAAAGATGACTAGATCTCCCTACAGTCCAAATGCCCTGCAAACCAAAAAAAAATGAGGCAACTGATGATATACCTGGCAATGAATTAGAGAATGAATTAGGTCAGCTGCAAAACTTTACAGGGAAGCATGAGACCAGCGTCTTAAAAGAAATGAGGCCAAGCCTTTATTATTTTTGTACAGCTGCAAGTTCAAACTAAAATTGAAAATATAAATAACTGTCAGAGATGTCTTGCTTCTTCAGGCTATGGACATTCACTGCTACCACATAAAGAAATGTAAAAAGGATTACAGCAGTTTTGGATGTTCAGAAAGAACTCCTGAGGTTATCTGCAAAGCTGAGCTATCTATCTTCCTTCTCACTAGAGAAGCTGAACCGAGCGCTATGGGGCTTTTTTCAACAAGACTCCCTCAGCCAAGGATAGAGAACTGGAGGCTTCCTGCTCAGTTTCATGAACCTTTAACTACACCTGCACATGAGCTCGATGAAAAATCTCAAGCAAAATTCAAATTTGTAAGGCAGTTTTTAAAGATGCGACTTGACTTTTGAAAATGCCCAGTGCAAACAGTGTTCTCCTTACCTTCTTCTGCCAACTCCTTAGTAATGATGAGTTTCCCATGGCGGAGGTAGTTTAGGATAGGACCAAAGTAGGTGGGGTCCCTGTCAATCAGATATGCCCCTGTCTCGTCCTGCCAACCAAAGACAAGGGTATCACTGTAGGACTTTCAGGATTTTTAAAAACCAAGTCAGGACAAGGTTTCATCCTCTTTGCCAGCACCCTAAAACAATTCATTCCATCAACCAAAAAAATATTTCAGTGATGGCAAGTTTTGCTAGACATTTGCTTATCGCCAACTATTGGCAAGAAGGCTAGTTTTATGTATCTTGTACTTTCAGATAATTTCAGGAAGTGTTACAGATGTACAATCATACTCAGTTAGGCTTCTACTTACTGGTTTGAATTTCTAAAGTTTTTGCTTGGACAACAATTACCAACATTCTTTCGTGGGACATCTGATGTTATGAAAGGGAGAAAGAAAATGTCATGGCTGCTGCGTGATTTAATTCTTTGCTTGGGGTGGACATTCTGACTTCTCTATTGCCCGGGAACTGCATTCCTAATTCTAAGAAAACCTCTGTATAGTTGGCAATGTTCCTGAGCTCAAGGCCAACATCAGTGGGAGCCTGCATTGCCAGCTGTAATCTCACACACTCCAGCTCTGTGCCCAGAGGAAGCTTGGTACTGCCAGGACTTGGCTCTGAGCAGCTTTAATCCTACTCATCTTTACAGTAAAAAGGAACAAGAAGAAACTGGCTCACATTGCCACAAGGAAGATATAGATAGATAAAAATAATTCCTTTACAAACAAGGGTTTCGGAATCTCTTTAAAGTTAGGGCAGAACAGTTTTCATCAACCTGAGAGGTGGGGGGTGGGGTGTAAATGAAATGAACAAATATTTATGCAGCCCAGCTCTGTTGAGCTGAGTGCTATACAGGGTATACAGCGGTGTGAGCCAACATCAGTGCCTTTAAGTTGGGAACGAAAAGAAGAACGTGTAAAGTTGAAAAGAAATTCAAAGAGTTCAGACTGGTAATGGTTTAGGTGTCTTCACCTCTCAATCCTTTGGTGAGCAGCCATGCATCTTGCCAAACAGCATTCCGGGGTTTTCATTTTCCTTCTGTCTTAACCGGTCAGCCTAGATTTCGCACCAGCAAATGGTAACCTCTTTCCAAGGAACGCATTTAATCTCAAATATGGACCGAAAACAGTGGCTGTTCCCAGACAAAAGTTCTGGGACCAAGACCATAGGAAAGGAGTGTGATATCACAAGCACTACTTCCTGCAACCGTCGAAGCTCAACTTGGCAGAGGGGTCTGAGAGGAAGTCTGAGAAAGCTACAAAGATGCCTTAGCTCACCCTGACCCAGTTCCGGATGCATCTGGCATGGGCAGGGGGGCTGAAGAGGAGCCAGGGAAAAACCCATGCAGACCTGAGGGGTTGGGGTGGCAGGGGCAGAGAATATGAAGAAGGGGCGTGGAGTGGGTTCTCGCGGGCGCGGGTGGGCACCGTGTAGGAAGGAGGCGCTGAGAACGAAGGGAGGGGTCAGAGAGAAAGCCCGGCTGTGCCTGAGGATGGGGAAGAGTGGGGGGGGGGTCCTTGTGAGGTCCCCAGGGTTGGCATGAGGCCAGGGGGAGGACCCGGCTGAGGGGGTTGCCGGCGAGGAGCATGTCTCAGGACTCTGGGGACGTATCTAGGCGGAACGAGGGGGTACAAAGGCCCGGGGGCGCGCCCGAGGGCGGGGCACACCTTGTCTGAGTCCAGCTCCGGGTCCTCCTGGCAGCAGAGGCGGCAGAGAAAAGACTTGGGCTCCCGGCCTAGGGTCTGTCTGGTGGTCACGAAGTAGGTGCCGCCCACGTTCAGCCTGACCCA